ACCATTATTTTGTGGCCGGAACTTCTGGCCTTGCACCCGAGGGGTGGAAAGTTTGTAGGTGTACAGTGGAGGGCAATACTGATTTTTCCAATGTAAATGCACACTGGAACATTTTTCCTTATTCAGTCTTGTCATCTACTTTTTGCACCAGCCGTTTTGCTTAGCTCAAGGAGTTCTTTGAGGTTGCTAGGATAAAATTCTAGTTAGAAGGCAGAATTTTAGAATATAGGTTTTAGGCGAGGTGGTAATGATGATATTGGGCTGTATAGAAGAGTCAGCAATATAAATGATATACTGCAAGGTAGGAGAATGCTCCCTTGTGGGAAGACGGCATGCATCTGAATATTCCGTGCCGCACCTCGGTCAGTTAAATAGGATTTCAGGATGAGAGCCTTACCTTGATGGATGGGTAGGAAGCGTTTAACTTACTTAAGAATGTTTGGGTGCGAGTCCCAACACAACAACAACCCTGACCATCTAGAGACGCAACCAAACAATAATATAACATTAATAATAATTACCCTTTATTCTCTAGAGCAGAGAAACTCTGGATCGGGGAATAATGGGGAGGGAAGCCGAATCGATGAAAAGGAATGATTTTATATGTATCTACAGTATTGGACGTTTTAAAAGGGGCTTTTCAAGGGTTTTGGACATAACAGAAATAAGGATTTTGCGTCTGTAAGAGGATCTGTGGTTGGGAAGTTTGTGAACTCTAGTAATGAGAATGTCTAAGGAATACTTCCATAAAACAAGATTGCGATTAAAATACTTTGGCCTTGTAGAGAAGGTTTCGAAGTATAGTGGAGATAATTAGGTCATGTCTTGGCATAAATTTTTTATATAGTACTTAAATTCATAAGAATGGAAAGGGATGCAAATATAAAGTATGGCGACTAACGTGGTCCGTTGTATAGAACAGTATATTTATTTTGCTTGTACCTGCTCATTAGTGGATTAAATAAAACATTTCGAATAGTTCTGTCGTTTTTTTGTCAATAATAACGAAATGACTGATTTCCCTTTATTCTCAGAGATAAGTAAAACGTGTTGTTATATTATCTGTTCAAATGTGGGTTATTCAAAACTGTCTGACGAAATTCAAGTTATTTCCTCCTTTCTGTTTTATTGTGAACACTTCTTTTATAATTTATTAACACGTCGTAAGTAAACTAAAGTCCTACTTTGAAAGAGTTTCCTTTATTCAATACGTGAACACGGGTTAACTAGGCCACTATTAGTTCCGAAATAGCACACGTAAAAAAAAACCTTTCGACTTTTCATTTTTAAAACGTTTGCCACCACTTTTAATTGTTCTTTAGATGAAATTGACTCTTTATCGTGTTGCTACGGTATGGAGTCATTTACCAGGAAATAACCAAGACAAATCGCTGGAGACAACTACCAGATCAAAATGTATCACGACTACTTGTAATAAATTTATATTGCACTACATTTCCACTGAATACTTCGTACTTATTCATTTCCGTGTTTTTCGTTAAAAAAGAATTGACATTCAAAAATTATCAGTCGAAATCAAAGACAGCCAAGGCATTATTACGAAAAAACATGAAACCTGAAACAACTTAGCTATAACAAAGAACTTATCAGTATTACGGCTACTTAGGTAAGAATATTATGCTAGAATTTATTCACTTCGAATTCTTAAAGTTTTGTGGTTCGAGAGAGAATTTCTCTTCTCTAGAAGAAGCTCAATCAATATATCCTTCTCTACTATCACATTAGGAGCAGCTGCTTTCAACCCGGAACGAGTTTATAAGTCTTAGGGGAAAAAAGAAATACCATTATGTATTCAAAAATATAACAAATTGGTTTAAATACGATTTTTTAAAGTCTTCTGTGATCAATGACTTATATTGCTTTTATATACGATTAAGTAAAGTAATTTCATTGTTGAATTAGCAGTGGTAACATTTCAAAATCTATTTAATAATCGTCTTTCGCTAAGCTTCAATGAAGTTTATTTTGCCTTCGAAAAAGTTATTAAGTGCAGAGTAAAGGGGCCTAACGGGGGGATTACAAGTGCAATCAAAACAAACGATAACAATTTTATTACTCTCGACAATCCTATACAGAACATTCATAACAATTTCCACCTTGTTAACGAATTCCGTGTAATGCGTTTTTATTATTGTCAAGTCGATTATATTTTTAAATCAGTTAAAGGGAGAAATAAGAAAGTACGTTAAAAATATAAACTGTGTTCGTTGATTCATTTTACAAACCTTTACGGGTCACACTAATTTATTTGCTTTGATTAATTATTTACATATTTACAACAGGCCGGATGATTCTTTTATTAGTCAAAACTGATTTTTAAACATGAAATTCTTTTAAATTTATTTGAGTTACTGATGAGATAAAACTTCGTTTGCACGAATAATACGAAAAGTAGTAAACTGTAAACAGTTATAACAAAAATGGGCAATAATAAAATAAAAACTTGAAAACGTTATGACAATAAACACTAGAAACAATTGTATATTCACACAGTCAAACTCAAACTGCAAATAGAACGACCATAATTTTAATGTAAATTACTGTTTGACGATTAAACAATTTATCAAAATATTTTAATTGAACTGTTTTAGTTAAGCAATACAAAGTAAAAGGATAATGGCAATTTTTCCAAGTCTTCTTTTAACTTACTTTTATTTTAATGTGTATAATTGCTAATAATAGTTCAATAATTCAAAAATTGAAAGTGAACTCTCTGTACAGGTTTTATACCTGTAGATAAATTATGAAGTTACATTACTTATAATTTCTTTCCTCCAAAAATGTTTTAATATCTCACATGGAGAAGTTCTATTTTCAAGATTCTAGTCAGCGTAAAAAAACCGTATGATTTGGTTGTTCTTATGTTAATTTATAACAATCAAGAGTACATAATAGAAAGGTTTGGTGGGCCTCCATTTAAAATCTGCTAACTTCGTTTTGAGAAACAAAAAATTAAGTAACGAAGCGTTCGTGATTTTCGTTGAAGCTTGACCTTCCGTATCTGTAAAACCAAGTAACATACCCAGCTATCATTACGTTACGAAAATGCCCACTCTGCAAATTTTTCTGCAAACTGTTAATTATAAAGTTTCTCGAGTGTTCTCTCATGAAGTCTTGCATTAGAAAGTATCTGTTAACGATATCCTCGCCGCACCGTGAGAAGCAATTAACCTCCCTCTTTGTTGTTAGAATGTCAAAAAACCTTTGATTTTACTTTATTTCTTGTTATGTTTTCGATCTGTGGATTGTATTTTGACTGTTCGTACAGATGCGCTGAAAATATTATGATATCAGAAAATAAATTCATCCACAGTTCTTAACGTAAACATCGTATGACTATTTTTACTGCAACAACTACATGTTCGTTTTCCTCATTACGTAGGCTACATTATCACAGTTTTTTATAAACACATATTTTAAAATAGTATAACTTGTTTTATACGATTTATATGTACAAATTTGTAGTTGATTATTACTTAATAAGCATCGTCAAGAAAATGTAATTCAATCAAAATTTAAACCTCCAAAAATCATTGATAAGCACTTCCAAAAAGGGTGGAGCTGATTTAATGAACTACTTAATAAGTTATAAAAAATGTTATACACTTCACGCTTTATGACTTATGTACGATTTATTGTAAAAGTAAAGAAGCCGGTGAAAAGTTCGTACATGTAAAAGTTGAACTGATAACATGGACTTGATGTATTGTTTAACAAAGGGTACTATACGTATTTAAGTTGTAAAATTGTAGGAAAAATCATCACTGGAATGCAAAGCAATTGCATTAAATCAAATTAAATTATTTATTGTTATAAGTTATACATTTTATTTCTTATTGTTTTTAGTTAATTGTTCCTGATTAACAATTTGTTATTAGGAAAAATACACTAATTATTGTTACATCAAGTATAACTGAAAAGTGAATTTGTCTCATCATGATTTTGGATATTTTACTCCTTATTTTTTAAGTCTTATTATCCTTTAGTCATTTAGTCTTTTGTTTATACTAAAACTTTCGTTATTTGGGATACAAAAGTTTAGTAAAACAATGTAATTCCTGTCGACAGATCAAACTACTTGACAATAATTTTTAATGTTATTCCCGTATAAAAAATCACCGGCTACCCCAGGATTAGAACCCAGAACCGTGAGCGTGGCAAATGCGAGCTGAACTCCTTAACCATCCCGATTGTTATTATTATTTCTGTTTTTCAATTTAAATTCCTCACATATTTATGAACTTTTTTTGTTATTAGCACCGCTGGTATACTATAGTAATTCATTAGGATATGTAAATCAATTAGGTAAAAAAAAATCGGTAGATCATTAAATATTGAGAAAAAATTGCAGTTAATTGGTGTTAATATTATTTTGTAGGTAGATAATTAGCAACAGCAATGATAAATTGTTGTATTTATTTAATTAGATATCCATCGTTTGTTATAAATAAATAAGATCAACGTGTCTATATATTAATTATCCTGTAAATTAGGGAAATAGAGAATTTAGTATAATATGAGTGATAATTTATCATTGAATAGTTTCTCTTTTATNTAATTATATTACATATATATCCAGTTTTACCCATTTCAAGTAAGTAATTGAATAGTAATCTGAGAGCATCAAATATAATTTTAAATTGAGAAATATCCTCTTTTATGAATAGTTGGAAATGCCATTAAATAAATAATATTACATTATAAGTGTATGAATCTATTAGTACAAGAAATGTCTGTTATTAAATAAAACAGTGAGGGAATATTCACAGAATATATATTTTTAATAGTTTTATTTTCATGATTTTGTTGAGTTCTTTTGTATTGTTAGCAATAAAACCTTTTTTTAAACACGACAATATTTGTGCTTAGGTGTTATCCATGTTTTTGTACTATTGTCTGTTGAATTTAACTCTTAAGCAAATATTTGGTATAAAAATTGTATCGAATAAGTGTTCAACAAGGCTAAGAATTTCAAATACCTCCACAAGGGATATCCAAAAGCAATTGAAGGCCATTTAAGCACCTCCGAACCACGCGACACATGTCCAAAAACCGAGCAAGCACCTCTCTGCAACACTCTCAATGCACCAACACTAATGGTTCTGTGAAATCTCGCTCCCCTCTGCCGTATTCCCCTTTCCACAACCCCACCAATGCGTGCGGCAGTTTGTTTACACTTTTCCTTTTTTGTTTTGTTTTTACACCTTATCGCACCTCTTCGCGCGGCCCCCTCCGCGCTTTTGTTTGTTATTTTCCCCGGCGCGTTCGACAATGAATTGTTTACGGTACAATAAAAAGTGGAGGCCAGAAGGCCAATTGATCTGAAATAACTGAAAGTACGAATTAAACTTGTAAATTTATGTTGGTTCTAATTAACAAGAGCCAGATTACTTATAACAGATTTTTATAAACTCAATTCTGCACACGGATGTTCATACATACACACGTGTACAGAGTTGAACCTTTCACTTGTGAACCTACACACCTCACATTCCACCAAAAAAAAATCTGAAATCAGAATTGTGCTATGGAAAGTCAATTCGAAGGTAGAAATACTTAATATTTATGTAGAAATCGTGAGATGCGGTCTGGTATGATGTAGGTTTCAGAAAAACATTTTCTTTATCGTGCCAACGTTTCGATCTTTATTGAGATCATCTTCAGGGCCTGGGATTTACAAACCTACATCATACCAGACCGCATCTCACGATTTCTACATAAATATCGATTAACGGTCACTAATCACCAGACATACTTAATATTGTTAGTTTTTAATTAATGAAAATTAAATAAATGAATTAAAAGAGGGAAACTTAAAAAGTTGTAGGTTGAAATGGGGAGTTGGTGTCCGAGTGGATCGAAGTCACCGTAGCTCAAGTGGTTAGAGCAGCGGCGTATTTAGCCGAAGGTCGTGGGTTCGAATCCCGCTCCTTACTCTAACTTTTTCATTTCAACCAACACCTCACATAAAAAAACATATAAAAAGATTAATTAATTGAGTGAAGTTATTTGGTCAATCGGACCACTAAATATAATACATTTAATAAGTAAAACGAAATATATCTTCAATAACAGCTCTCCGTGGCCGCTTCATATGTCGCCGAGAATCGAATACTGCTTACACGACATTTGAAAAATGGTAAAAAAGAGGAAAAATTCGAAAGGTTGTAGGTTGAGATGGGGAATTGGTGTTCGAGTAGATCGAAGTGACGACAGCTCAAGTGGGGTAGAGCAGCGGCGTAATGAGCCGAAGGTCGTGGGTTCGAATCCCGCTCGTGACACTAACTTTTTCATTTCAACCAAAACTTTACATTAATAGATTAAGTGATTGAAAGAAGTAACTTGGTCAATAGACCATTAATTATAATGGATTTAATAAATATTTTTAATAATAATAACTGTTGTTATCCGTGAAGAATAAAAAAAGCTAAAGTCTAGTCAATCCTATTCAAAGTGGGATTACTGATGAAATACTGATACCCGAGTGTTTTTTTTGGGGGGCAACGAAGTCATTCAACCCAATCATCTGTTTCTGGTAGACGCATACTGCGTATAAAACAAAATGTACACTTGTATTTATTTCTTTATTTTCCATAATAACTAGGTATAAAGATTAATAGTTGACGTAAAACATAATAAACACAACATTAATAACTTGTTGCTTACCTTGTGTTAACTTGTTAACCTTTAAAGAGTGTTACTAATCATTTTACATTTACACTCTTTAGGTTAAAAATAAAGCGGGAAGTTTGTAATAAAGTGTGAAGTTTATGGGCCGACAAACAGCTGAGGTCATCGCAGGCCCTCTGCGTGTTTTCCTTCTTTTTGTTTCTTTCGCGCGTATTTTGTTTTAAACTGCAGCCATTTGAGCGTCTCGATCTGGTTACTGACTCTCTGATTTCAAATATATACTAAGTTGATATTCTAGAGTGCTAGTCTTTCGTTTGAATCTCAGGTTGAAAAATGCAGAATAATAACAAAACATACAATACATATATGTACATCACCACAAACATAGATGTATGGTCACATTCACTCCCCCAGAGTATTCGATATTCCTCGGGGCGGGGCTATAAGCAACCCCTTCCTTTCACGCTAATAAATTACTTTTACTCTCCAGACGTCACACACTGACCCCAGAGTACTCGATATTCCTCGAGGGTTAAAAATAAAGAAAAATCAGTTCAATATCATCCTTTGCAGAGCCAGGTTTTCTTTGATAAAACAATAAATTTGATTACAGTAAAATATTTGTTTATTAAAAGCATGGTTTTAAGTCGAGAAGATTTCGCCTGAGCATAGCGTCCGTTACGTAGTCCCAGTTCTAAGTATGCTGCGCTCCACCATCCACGATGATCTGTAGATACAGAGGTTTAAGACCACCGGAAGTCTCGATCGAAGAAAAGGTGATGGCCGACCGCGATGTACGACGGCTAGAGACGATCATTTTATTGATCTTACAGCACTATGAAACCGTCATTTAACGGCTGCCTTGATAGTAATCTCCACTCCAATCTCACTCCAAACGGGATTCTGTTTCACAAGACGATATCCGATCACTTATTTACTCTATGCCTAGGAGACATTAGGCCCTCCTGCGATGCCAGATGAGGTAATATGCACGATTAAGAGGAAAATTAGGTAATAAATTGTTAAATTTGACATTATGACTAAATGATCTTCCAGAGTTTTGGTGAATTTTCTTTCAAACTATCGTAATTTTTTTTATTAAAATGTAAATATCTCGATAAAAATACATATAGTTTGAAATAAGCCAGAAAATACGAGTGTTCGGTTTTTGACTTTGATACGATTGTGTATTGTGCGTGTTTCTATAGGAAGCTTTTGAATCAAACGGAGCCACAAGTACTCGTGCGCGCGAGAAGGTGTGAAAGATTAGAAAAATTTTAGATCATAGGCCTCAGAGATACTCTGTTAAGATAAAAACTTGCGAACATCAGTTTGTAAGATTTATGAACTTAGAACTAGTTCGTATGACATGAAATTTCACCGAACGGTTGGTTGTCACTCGTGAAGAAATGTGAGGTGCAATTCTGATGTTTGACTGCGGTTGATTCACAATCATTTGCATGAAGGGCAGTGACGGCTGTGGCCAATACAAAATTTTAAGCCCAATTCGTAATGCGCGTTTTTCACTAAGAAAGATTTCTTCGTTATAATTTCTGAAAGATGTATTATGCTATATATTGGGACGGGACGGAAGAAATTTTCAAAGTATTGGAAGATTCTGTTTCAGAAAGGCACATTTTTCCCATCGGACCGAGGAAAGATAGGAAATCTTCGTGGTATCGAACTACTCGCACATACCATGTACCATAGACCTTGCTCTGTCAGTTTATTATTACTTGATTAACAATTTCTCCAGAGAAAAATCTAGCTATAGTGTAGATTTAAAAATTGTCGTGCAAGAGTTTTCTGTCACCTATTCCAAAGAAAGTTACGAACTTGAGCAGTATTTTAAATATTAATTTTAAATAATAATAAAGGAATAAAAATATTACGGGAAAATGGTAGTTTTTATACGTTTTATTTCCCTCATCGTCAAAAGAAAACAATTTAACTTACTAAACATCAACTGCTAAAACATAGGATTTGCCAATTTTCCCTACTATTCTTTGAATTTTCTTTCATGAATTGAATCGTAAAAGAGTCTGGCTCTTCTCGTCCGAGAGATCTCAGTTAGACGTAAAGCCTTCGTGTAGACAGGAATTACTGTATTTGATTTACAATTGACTATTTTTCCATGAAATTTTTAATAATTTTAAAATTTAATTTTTATTTCTTTTTTGGGGGGAATGACTCATATTTGTTGTAAAAATTGGGTATTAGTGTTAGGATACATAGAGAGCTTGTGTGAAACTATGGAAGAGTGGTCGAATCATTTCGTTGACAAAGAAATGGTTTTTTGAATAGAATGGATGCACTGGATTTTATATGGGTTAGTGAGACCAAATAGTTCCACCCTGTTTGTCCAAAGTGGTCGCATTCATGTCTTGTATAGAGTCGGTTGAGTTTGCTAGTTGTCCAAGTCTTCTTTAAAGTTGATGCCCCTAGGTTTTGTATGGGGGCTTCACGTTAGCCTGCTCAGTATAGTCTTAAGTAATTGACTTGAGCGGAAATCGGTAGCTGTTTTTGCAACGTAATTTTTACAAAAATTTCCTACATCAGACTCCACTTTTAGCAACAGTCTTTGATAAACTCGAGGTGCTATTGCATGCTGGAGGTAGCTTGAATAAATTTCAGGTTGGAGGGCAGAATTTCGGCGTTATGCGCATAGGTAAAAATGATGATATCTGGATGTTTAGGAAATCAGGAATATAGACTGTATATAGGGTGAGGCCAAAAATGCTCCCTTGTGTGACACCGGGTTGTGTTGGTTGAATATTTGAGTACTCGTTGCCACACCTCGCTCTAAGCAGCGGTCAATTAAATAGGAGTACATGATAAGGTAATAAGGAGTGGGTAGGAAACGTTTAAGTTTGTGGAAGATGCTTCGGTGTCCGACGCTTTCAAAAGCTTGGGCCAGAAGGAATGATTTTCCATCTTGAATTTTGAATCACTGAATCCTTGATAAGTATAAATATTAATTAAAAGGAGTATTTTTTTATAATTTGGTCATAATTGGAAAAAGAACATTTAGAGGATATGTGGTTGGGCCATTGTCATAAATGCAACACTTCAGAAAAATCATATTTCACATATGTTCCTGTTAATAATTACAAAATGATGTACGTTTCATTTAAAGAGTAATGATTCAACAATTATCATCGAAACGAAAATTAATTCAATTAAAATGCAAATTTCAATGTTTTCGTTGCACATAAAGTATACACCATGTATTCTACGGATCGCGTGCTCGGGTGTTCCTGCTCTCAGGGGCAAATCTCTATTGATTGTCATTTGTTAATGTAATTTTTCGGCGATCTACACGTTTCCATTCCATTTTAGTTGTTTTCAAGTCAGTCTTCAAAAAAAGTAAAAATAATAATAATTTGCTACTTATACTCTCAATACTAGTATTACTATTTTCTGGTTATTAGGTTGGACAATTATTTTAAAATTAATTTTATTAATTCATACATGTTTAGCGGCCTTCGTCTTCGGGTTCGAATCTCGCTCGAGACACTAA